TTTGTATCTCCTAGAAACTCCTATATTTTCTACTAGAAGTAGCTTTCTACCAAGGCATCAAATGTTCTGTATGTTTGTTTCTTGTAAAAGTGTGTATTTTCCCAAGTATGACTATCATTAACAAAATATAGTTTTTACATTACCGTTTATATGAGAAGATCACAATGTGAATGCAATGGGAAAATAATAAAGTATTGTAGTGTTGTATTATAGTAACTACTGTTGTACTAACTACCTTAAGCCAATTGTTAATTAAGGTATAATGTGATACAATTGTAACCATACTTGATCGACTTAGTAAAACATGCTGCTCGAAGATGTCGAAATGGTATGACATTCATCATCTATAGACCTGCAGGTTCCACTGTAGCTAGCAGCAAGGTGTAGGACGGTCAGTCCCGTATAGATCTATACACAAATTCACACTCTCCCTCCAGGAGACTCTGGCTACAAAACAAGCCATAGCAGTGATGCCGTGCTCCGAAGTAGTGACTCAGATTTATGTTATAGTATTCTTGTATATGTATTGTATGTACTAGTGTAATGTATGTTCTCTCTGTCTAGTATGTATTATGTTATCTTTGTTTCTCATCATAGTATGTTCGTTATGTTTCTCATAATAGTATATTCTTTATGTTTCTCATATTAGTATATTCTCTTAGTTTCTCAACATAGTATACTCGTTATGTTTCTCATAATAGTATATTCTCTTAGTTTCTCATCATAGTATATTCGTTATGTTTCTCATAATAGTATGTATTGACTCATGTATGAACTGACTCTTTGTATGTTTCATTGTACTAGAAATAGTGAGTAGTGACTTCCTAAACTATACCTATTATAGTTTACTAGTAGAGTTGTTTGTATAAATGAACATGTCTGTACACCTTTGCTACCCAAAGGTATTGAAATGAGATAAAAGCTTTTATGTCGATACATATATACATAATATATAACTAAGTATCAAATGATACTCAAACAAACAACACATTACTCTAAGTCCACAACCAAACAAGGAATAGGAAATAAAGTGAATTACTAGTCCTAAGTCCTTAAAACCTTACTTATATAACTTTATGTACATTAGACATGGTTTTGACAATATATAAGTTTGAAAGAGTTAAAAGAAAAGGTTTTATAAGAACAAGTTTGATAAAGAGTTTAATATGTAAAAGAGTTTGATAAACATGTGGAAGTAGTTTGTTTGATAAACTAGTTAAAAGTATAGTAAATCCATTTGTTTGATAGTTATTAATCACATGTGATTGATATAATAACTATAATGTTTCAACTTGTATTCCCCCCATAAAAGCATTTAAAATCATTTAAAAGGTAGATTAAGGGGTATAAACTCACCTGTAATGAGTGACAGGAATGAAAGATCGGTTTGCAGGATGCTAAGTGCCAAGTAAAGACTTGAGCACAATGGATCCTAAATAGCATATAATGACACATATATGTATCTAATTAGTTTTTACAAAATCTAATCATGAAATGGAACAACCTTAGGGACTACGAAACACTTGTAACGAAGTGTTACACCACATAGGGTTGTATATAAGGGGTGCAAACTCTAGTTTGTAGATTGACACACACACACACACACACACACACACATATATATATATATATATATATATATATATATATATATATACCATAGAGTTTGCAGCCGTAAACTCTAGTTTACGGACGTAAACTCCAATTCTTGGAGTTTTTCGGCTTGTGTACTACACACTGAACTCTAGAATAAACTTCCTAACATCACCTTTTGAAGGTGCTAGGATGAGAACACTCAAACAGACTCTAAACAGTGCTAAATGATAGCATAAACAAGTTTGAATTTGATTGAATTGATTGATTGTCCCAGATAGAAATTTCGGGTTATCACAGTGAGCTACCCCAAAATACCAACGCCATATCAATATAATCATAACATATAACCAATACAAAATAACATGCATAATGAGCTTTCAACTTGACTGGACCGCCTCATAGGGCCTACAACCTATCTGGACCGCTCCTGAGCCTTCGGCATGACTGGACCGCCTCGCAGGACCTACAGCTTATCCGAACCGCTCACCGGGTATGTTGGCCTACAGCACAAAGCAGGACCGCCTCAATACAACCCCCAATCAAACAAACATGTACACATAAATATCATACACTAACTCATATCATGTAACAGTCAAACTGATCTAACGGATCACTAATAATAGCAACATCCCAATAACCGGGATACAAACCTAATCGGTCACTAACCAAACCAGGTCACTAAGCATAAGTATATCACCATCCTAACTACTAGGGTGTAATCAAAAAACATATTATGCAATAATCCGAATAAAAATCCATAAAGGGCCAGCCTTGGTGCCTTAGACCCTATTGATATAGTGAGGATAACTCACCTTGCTAGTAGTGCTGAAATACTGCAAATCTCTGACTACTGTTTCACCGGGAAACCCAAACTATTACACAATAAACACCCAAAATTATTACCCAAAATAATCTTCTTGACTAAAAGTCCACTTATGTTACTGGGCTAAGGCCCAAATACCTAATCCTTGACTTGAAAGTCCATATAAAAGCCCATTATCAGCCCAATTTACCAAATTGGGCCCAACCTCCTAATTGGGCCCAACCCCATGATCCACTATCACTACATGGCCCAAATTACTTAATTTACCAAGCCTAGAAAAGGACCAATTCCATTTAGTCCAGAAACAGCCCAAAACCTGAAGCCCAGTTGACAAAACCCAAACAGAGGACGTACGTGGGGGGTACTCCTCTGGTACGTGGGGTGCACTTATCCAACATTGACCACAATCGGGCGGTTAACCCAGTATGCTCGGCGTACTAGATTTACGTTGGGTGTACTGGACGATTTGCCAAAATCTCATTAAGTTCTTAATGGGTTAAGCACTTAAGCCTAAACTTCAGATCCAAAGACCTAACATGTCTAGGATCCATTAAGTCGTGAACTTTATAACTTTGGATGTCCATAAATTTCTAAATTCTTGGTCTTAATCCATTAAGACCTTATTCCTCCATGCATGGGACTCCATCAGCTAATGGGACCTCATTTTTATCACTCAATTCCCCTTCAAGAGTCCAAAAGGACAGTCTTTGTCATTCAAAACATAACATGCACCACCTTGTGGTTTTTGGGACAACAAATGGCTCTTTTAAAGAAAAATGGAGAGATCTAATCATATAAGCATAAAGTTTAGAAATTTATACCTTCTAGAGCTTCTTGAGCATAAGCTAACTTCAGATCTACAAGCCTGGTCTCTTCCTTCAACTCTCTGATGCAATGGTTTCCTCCTATGGCCCTCAAGAACACACTAAAATGAGCTTAACAAACAAAGGGGAGGCTAGGGTTTGAGAGAGACGAGTTGATCTGTGGACGCTGAGGTAAAAGAGGTTTGGGTGCATGATGATATACGGTCCATTTGCATGGCCTAGACTGCTCTAGTGCGCCAGCCTGGTCTGGCGCGCTCCTGCCAGCCCTGCCTGACGTGCTCTTGCCAACCTTGTTGAGGACTCTCCCACCAGCCCGACCTGGCGCTCCCTTGATAGCCTTTCCTGGTGCGTGCCCACCAACCTTGCCTGGGGTGGGCCCGTTAGCCCCGCCCAACGCCATTTTGTTAAGATCTGTTTGGATTTGGCCAAGATCTGTTCAGATCGATTTGGTTCTTGACAAGATCTATTCGGATCTGTCTAACCATCGTTCAGATCTCTTGATCTGCTTAGTTTTATGCACAGATCTTTTGATTTGCTTGTTTTTTCGCTCAGATCTTTTGATCTATTTGAGTTTTCTAGCTTAGATCTTCAGATCTGCCTTGTTTTTGCTCAGATGTCTCGATATGTTTTCTTTTAGTTCTTCTGAGTAACTCTCAAGTCTTAAAAGACTTTATCAAATCTCATTTTTGTATATTTTTGATGTGTTCTTCAGCATGTTATGAAGAAAGAAACTCTTATGAGTTCTTAACCCATTTTGGTTTTTATTTTGGTGGTTTCATCAGGCAACTTGAGAGGATAAGAAATTTTTCGTGATTTTTTTCCTTATTTTCAGTTTATGTTACAAAGAAATCACCTTCAGTTTATGATTTTCTTTGTAAAGCTCTTATGGAGTTGTCTAATTAGTGTTTTCTCTAAAAGCTTAGAGATAGAAAATGTAATTTTTTTCAGATCTGTTCCTTGTTCATATCTTCATAGCTTGTTAAGCAAGCTGAAAAGAAAATGAAGTTTCATGAATAACCCTCCACATAAGATCTTTTATCTATTTATGATATGGGGTTTTTCAGCAATTTAGAAGAAAAGAGAGTTTATAAGAAAAAAAAAAACTCTTTCAGATTCGTTTTTGTTGATGTTTTGATGTCTTTCCAGAAGGTTGAGTAGAAAAGAAATTTTATGAATTTTTATCCCATTTCAGTCCTTATATTATTACAAAATCATTTTTAGTAAAGATTTTCTGTGAACATCTTCACTCCCACTGCAACAACTATTTGTACACACAGACATATGACTTGTACATCTTACAGAACCTTCAATAAAAAAAGGGAGGAGAAGCTTTGATGGGTCTTAACCCACTTTTAGTCTATGTATTCTTCAGTAATGAGTTTATGTGTACAAGTTTGTTTATGCTGTACATTCAAAAAGTCCAAGTTAACATTGATAAAATTGCATTTCGCATCAGTATACCCTTTTAGTTAATGGTTTTAAAGAAATATATGCATGTAAAAAGTAAATGCATATGCACAATATAAAATTTTTACAGCTCTCATTTACACTACTTTTCTCACCATCTCGAAATATAATATAAAAAGAAAAGAAAAGAAGGGGAAAGGGTGCATAGTGCACCAAACAAATGACAGAATTGTCAATAGCAAAAAGCAACAGCGTCAGGACCCACCTGGTCCAATCGCATACACAAAAGATGCACAAAAGTCAAAAGAAAAATCAGGCCCCACTTGGCTTTCTCTCTTTCCAAGGGAGTAATGACCTATTTGTTTCCCGATGAACCACCAATAGCAACCCTAGCGATGGAAGCTCCGGTAATCCATTCTCATCCAAACACGACCCAACGAACCAAGAACCTGCAAACCTACACGCATCTCCCGTTACAGCTTCACCACCGTCTTGTTGAATCGATACCACCAATAACTTCCAATTCTGATATAGTGCGACCAACAATGACTTCGATGAAATAGATCCAATTGTGGGTGCCATCGTCACCAACAGAGGTCAACCAACACAACCACCGACCTCCAATCGCACAGCAGTCCCAAGACCGCCCACCAGAAAGCTCAAATCACCAGCCAACCATCGGTAGTTGCCTCCAGTGTCGACGAAAGAGCCTCAACTGCAACCCCTGTTTTCACCAACATCGATCACATCTCACTATTTCTCGATATTGCTGCCAGCCGATGCTACAATGATTGACAATCGACCACCCCTTCCCTCAGATCTTCCTTCATAGAGCCATCACGACCATCAGACCACTCGTCGACCTTCGACAACGACAGTCAACGTCGAGAATCATCACTGTCGTGGGCCCATCTGCAAAATAGGTGATGCACTTCATCATACCAATAGCAAAAGCCGTTGTTCAGATCCCCTCTACACTGGTGGCCTTCGACAACAACCACCAGACAACATCGTCAAATCACCAGCTGTGGACTTTTTCCCTTTGGTGCATCCTGGTACCAATATCCAGATTGTCAAAATGAAGCTGGTGACTTATTCAAAACTAGTGAGAAAGATAACAACGCGCCCCACTCGTGTATCTGATTACCCTTGGTTTGCAATCAGGTGAAAAAAATAATTAGTAATTGGACTTCTACATGTGGGCTGCCATTATTCTATTTTGTGCTTCCATGAAAAATGGGTTGCTATCTTGGGCTCCTCTCAAACTAGCCTTTCCTGTTATTTATGGGCTATCTCAGTAACTTATATGGGGTATTTTTGCAAGGAAAAATCAACAACTTAATCTTCGTGTGTCCTAATTCAATCAACCTAGATCCAATTCTAAAGATACGGTCCGTCCAACTCAAGATTTTTTTTTAAAAAAGGGCGGGGGAGGGGAAAGAGTAGTATGCTACTACTACTTGCAAAGCGTTTCGAGATGACCGTGAAAGAAAATCAAAATTGATTTATGGTTTCAAGAAAAACATACTAACGATTAGATTTGATTATCTTGTCTTTTCAGATAATCGTTCCAGCGCCATGACACTCAGAGCACGTCAACAGCAAACACGTGAAGTGAAGCTCGGCCTGTAAAGCATTTACAGGGGACTTGTGAAGTGTGCACCGCTAACCAGTCACTCAAAGTTCCCATCCAGCGTGCATAGAAATATAACTCCCCACCCAGTTTTGTCTGCGAGTCTCATCCCCCTCACTGAGGTGCGCGCACGACTCTCAGAGCGTCTATTTCTATTAACAAATTTCAGCTGTGGCTGGAATGCGAGAATCATGGACTAAGTACATTGTATCTATTTACAGACTTTAAAGCTCGAAAATGGTCTTAGAGACTGTATAGCGAGGTTATACTTACTAGCTACTTTGGCCTGACATTTTATTGACATTAATGTCGTGTAACACTCTTTTGCAGCCTCGGTCTGCATGATCGCGACAACAATTATAATGCATCTCACCGACCGGCTCACACTCCCCTCAATGAAGGAGTATCAAGTCAGCTCAAGTTGCATAAGAAGTGTTTGGCTGACGCACAACCCCACGGCTCTCGTGGGCAAGGTTCGATCGTTCTCTTTATTATTTAATTTATTGGTGCTTTATCTAGTCTGATCTGATTGTCAGCAACCCAATCGCATCAGACTAGGGGACTTGACGACGACTAGTTTATATGAATAAGTCTAGTCTGATGTCATTGGCCGCATACCAATAACATCATACTGGGGGACTTGATGATATATGGTCCATTAGCATGACCTAGCCTACTCTAGCACGCCAGCCTGGCCTGGCGCACTCCTGCCAGCCCTGCCTGACGTGCTCTTGCCAGCCTTGCTGGGGACTCTCTTGCCATCCCAGTCTGGCGCTCCCTTGACAGCCTTTCCTGGTGCGCACCCGCCAGCTTTGCCTGCGGCGTGTCCGCCAGCCCCGCCCGGCGCCTCCAAGCGGCCTTGCCCAGCTCCTTGCTAGCTGGGCCTGAATTGGCCTAGCCCAAGGCGTGACCTAATTTCCATTGACCTAGTTGTCCCCTATAAATAGAATAGTGCCTCCTCCATGAAGGAGGACTTTTCCCCTAGACTCTGCCCCATGGCTCAGCCGCCACACCAAACTCCGGCCGGGTGGCTCAGCCGCCACCTACCGCTGTCAGCCACCATACACCACTACCAACACCAAGATGGTTCTCTCCAGCTATGGAGGACTATCTCAGATCTATCAAGTGATCTAACTTGACTGTCGGAGCCCGCTCCTGGGGAACAGTTCCTGTGGTGGATCTAACGACTTTGCACTATGATGTCCAGATCTCCGCCATAGCAGAAGACCATAAGACTCGTCGGAGGTCGATGTCGCATTAGTGCATATCATGTTGCTTTTATAGGCCCCAAACCCTAAATATTAGGGTTTACATCCCTGATGCTAGTATGCCCTGCGTACGCAAGTATATGCCAAGCATACTAAGGAGAACCCTTATACACTTAGCGTGCTCCTATGTATGCGTAGCGTACCCTCCCTTTTGGTCCAAATTGCAAACTTGGCCCTTAAACTTGTCTTGGATCTACATTCTAAATCCCAAGGGCTATAATCAACAAAGTAATGATAGAATAGGGTTCAGAAATACCTGCAATCTCTCGGGATGTTACAATCCTCCCCCACTTGACCTAGATTTCGCCCCCAAAGTCTAATGCGGTAAATAGATCCGGGTAATGCTCCTGCAACTCAGACTCGGGTTCCCATGTCCATTTGGATCCCTTCTGATGCTCCCATTGTACCTTCACCAAAGGTATCTCCTTGTTCCGTAAAACCTTCTTCTTCCTTTCTAGAATGGCTACAGGCCTCTCCACGTAATTCAGGTGCTCATTGACTTGAAGATCATCCAATGACACCACTTCCTCGTGATCCATAATGCACTTTTACATTTGCGAAACGTGGAAAGTGTTGTGGATCCGGTTAAGCTCCTCAGGTAGCTCTAGACTGTATGCCACCTTGCCAACCCTGGAACTAATCCTGAACGGTCCAATGAAACGGGGATCCAATTTCCCCCTCTTCCTGAAGCGGATCACACCTTTCCAGGGTGAGACCTTTAGGAGTACCATATCACCCACCTGGAACTCTAACTCTGATCGACGTCTGTCGGCGTAACTCTTCTGCTGACTCTGAGCAGTCTGCAGTCGCTGCCTAATCTACTGAATCTTCTTGGTGGCCTACGAAACCACTTGCGTCCGTCCCATCACCCTGTGTCTGACCTCACCCCAGCAAACTGGGGTGCGACATCTCTGCCCATACAATAGCTCGAAAGGCGGGGCGCCACTGCTAGAATGATAGTTGTTGTTGTAAGCAAACTCTAAGAGGGGTAGGTGGGAATCCTGGCTCCCACCAAAGTCAATGACACACGCCCTCAACATATCCTTGAGGGTCTGAATGGTCCGCTCACTTTGATCATCGGTCTGCGGATGAAAACTTGTGCTAAAGTGCAGTCGCATGCCTAGTTCCTCATGGAGCTTCTGCCAGAAGTGGGAGGTAAACCTAAGATCCCGGTTGGAAACAATGGAGACCGAAACCCCATGGTGAGCAACGATCTCGCGAACATACATGTCGGCCAACTTCTCGGCCGAAGAACTCTCCCGTATAACCCATAAATGGGTGGTAAATCGATCTACGATGTCCCAAATAACATCAAACCCCTTCGCCTTCTTCGACAGTTTGGTAGTGAAATGCATCGTGATTTGTTCCCATTTCTACATGGGAATCTCAAGGGGCTACAGCATACCATGCGGCCTCTAATTCTCAAACTTAACCACCCTACAGATCAAGCACCTCTCAACGTACCAAACGATTTCTCGCTTCATACATGGCCACCAGTAACTCAAACTCAGGTGTGTGTACATCTTGGTGGGCCCCGGCTGAATAGAGAAATGAGATTTATGAGCCTCCTCCATGACTGTCTGGCTGACCTCACCAGACATTGGAACCCACACCCGACCACATCGGGTCAGTAATCTCTGACTATCCTGCACAAACTCGGTATTCTCACCCCTGATCCTCTCCAGCTTCAAGTTCTCAAGTTGCATGCCCTCAACATGAGCATCTCTAATCAAACTCACAAGCAGAGAATCCACCACTACCCTCATACATATCGCTAGAGCGAATGACCCAGCTGTCTTGCAACTCAAGGTGTCTGCCACCACATTCGATTTACCAGGATTGTAAAGGATCTCACAATCATAGTCCTTGACTACATCCAGCTACCTACGCTGCCTCATATTCAGGTTTGGCTGATCCATGATGTGTCTCAAGCTCTTGTGATCCATGTATATGGTACAACGGGCCCCGTATAGGTAATTTCTCCATATCTTGACAGCGAACACCACCGCTCCCAGCTCTAAATCATGAGTAGGATATCTCGTCTCATCCGACTTCAGCTGCCGCGATGCATAGGCTATCACCCGTACTTTCTGCATGAGGACCGCCCCCAAGCCTGTGATGGAAGCATCACAGAACACCAAAAAATCCTCAACTCCGTCCGGAAGAATCAAAACTGGGGCCTCACATAATCATTGCCAGAGGGTCCCAAACGCCCTTTGCTGCTCAGGGCCCCACTGGAAATCCACCACCTTCCTCGTCAGAATAGTGAGGGGTACTGCAATCTTGGAGAAATTCTGAATAAATCTCTGGTAGTACCCTGCTAATCCCAGAAAACTCTTGATATCCAAAGGAGATCTCGGCACCTCCCACTGCATGACTGCCTCGATCTTGGCCGGGTCGACCAAAATCCCTTCCTGATTAACGAGGTGTCCTAGGAACTGGACCTCTCGCAACCAAAGCTCACACTTTGAGAACTTAGCATACAACTGCTCTCGTCTCGTAACTCCCAACAACTTCCTAAAGTGCTCCTCGTGCGGTTCTCGGGTCTTGGAATATACCAAGATATCATCAATAAACACTATAACCGAGCGATCAAACATCGGTCTACAGACTCGATTCATCAGGTCCATAAATACTGTTGGCGCGTTGGTAAGCCCAAATGGCATCACCACGAACTTGTAATGACCATAATGAGTCCAAAATGCGATCTTCTCAACGTCCTCTTCTCTGACTCGTACCTGATGATATCCCAACCTCAAGTTTATCTTGGAAAACCAAGATACACCCTGCAACTAATCAAAGATATCATATATCCTCAAGAGTGGATAACGGTTCTTCACCGTGAACTTGTTCAGCTCCCTATAATCAATGCACATCCGATGCAATCCATCCTTCTGTAACATCCCGGAATAACAAGAGTAGAGTTGAAGGACTAAAAGTGTAAAGTTTGAAGGGCAACTCAGCGAGTCCATGGATGGACTCGGTGAGTAGGGTCGCGACTTTGGTCGCGAGTCAAGTGGCCTACTCGGCGAGTAGGTGCTGAGTGGAGAAAACCCTAAATCCGGGGAATGAGCCCTATTTAAAGAACATTATGTCCCCTCCCCAGCCTCTTTGATCCCCCTTGAAGTCCAGAAACCCCAGAAATTGTGTGTGTGAAAGATTGGAGTGCATTTGGAGCTTGGGGAGGTGTTTGTTGAATAAATCTTGAAGGAAAAGAGGCTTGGATCATAGGGGTTTGCTTGGATTCGAGTTTTATTGTAGTTGGGGCATTCTTTTGAGGTAATATCTCGTTCTTGGGCTGTGTTCTTCTAGATTCTTCATTGTTGGGTTGTGTGGGAAGCTTAGATTTGTGGCATCTTGAGTTTGAAGGATAGATCTGAGGTTGCTACCTTAGATCTGGAGTGGAGAAGGTCTTAAGAGCATTAAAGTCCCTATTCTTGTGTTGTTGATGGAGCTATGTTGTCCCAAACCCCAAACTCTAGAGTAAAAAGGGCTAGATCTCTTTGGATTCACGTAAAGTTTGCCACTTTACGTGATGGATGGGTTGTAGGAGGCTAGATCTATGTTTTGGATCAATTGCATGGCCTGGAATACTTCTGTTTGGATTCAAACCGGTTGTACTCGGCGAGTCGCAAGGGTGGACTCGACGAGTTGCTTGAAGATAAGCTGGAACTCGACGATTTGGATGAACAACTCAGCGAGTAGGTTGAAGATAGCCTTAGACTCGGCGAGTCTGTTCTTGGACTCGGCGAGTCTTGTCGAAGAGTCCCAATATTTTCTGGTTGAGTCGAGAATCGGTGAGTCAAGGGATGACTCGGTGAGTTGGGTGCGAGTGGACTCAGAGTTGTTGGACTCGGCGAGTCTCGGGGTGACTCGGCGAGTTAGGTCGCGGGTTGAGGGAAGTTCTGAGCTTGGGGACTCGGCGAGTCATCGGGTTGACTCGGCGAGTAAAGTCAGTCAGGGGTTGACTTTGACCTTGTCCAAGGTTGACCAGTTGTTTTCTGGGGGTATTTTGGTAATTAAGGGTATATATTGAGTTGAGTGTTTTGATGTTCAGTGGAGGAGTTCGTGTTGGAGTTCGGAGTAGCGGGATCTTATCCTTTTAGCCGGCAGTTTCGAGGTGAGTTATCCTCACTATATCGACACGGTCTACGGCACCAAGGCCGACCCTTTACCGGATGGAAATCCGAATAGTTGTCTGTTATGGTATTGCTTGATATGGGCCGGAAGGCATTATGATGTGGGCCGGAAGGCATTATGATATGGGCCGGAAGGCATTCTACGTTATGTGGACCGGAAGGTCATGGCCTGGAAAGGCGTATGTGTGTAAGTAGTATTTAGACTGAGACGTAGGGTGATATATGCTCGTGATCGGCTAGGTCGGTATCCTGGTTAGGGTAATGATATGTTATGTGATCTGCTGGATCGATTTGTTGACTGCGAACTGTCATATGATTGAATGTTATGTGCACAGGGTTGTTTAGACTGGAGTTTGATCTGATATGCATGGCTGTTCTATGTTTTGTTATGTTATGTATGTTTTTTATGTTATGGGCCGGAAGGAAATATGTTATGGGCCGGAAGGCAATATGTTTTGGACCGGAAGGTCGTGGCATGGAAGGGCGTATACGTGGTTGGTATTTTGGGGGTATCTCACTAAGCTTTCGGGCTTACAGTTGTGGTTTAATGTTTTTCAGGTTCTTCAGGAGACTGTGGCAAGGCAAAGGCGTGATTGTACCGTTCCTCGCATTTTATGTTTTATGAAATGGACCTGGGAATATTCTGATAAATAATGTATTGAAAACCTTTTTGTAATAATGTTATTAAAATGAATTGTTTGAAAAGTTTAAATTATGTTGAAATTTTTGGTCGTTACAAGTTGGTATCAGAGCCTTGGTTTGAGTAAATTGGAGGAACACTTGTGTGACTCCAGTCTCAAATCGAGGAGGGTTTTAAAAAGAGAGAAATTAAAATGGTTTTCAAATGAAGTAAA